ATCCATGTGAATATCAGCTGAGCCACTCACCAGTCAGCATGAACTGATAGGCATTGTCAGAGATGGAGAAGATGTGGGGTGGGGCCTCCTGGCGCTTTTTGCCTCGGTAGGCTGTCACCACCTCTGCATTATACACTGGCAACCACTTGTAGGGATTGACAGTGACACAGAATAGGCCAGAGTAGGTCTGCACACACACACAAAAAGGAAATAAATTATTTGATGGAGACCTAAATCATCTACTATTTTTCAAAAAATATTAACTACTCGCATGAGTAGAAGCCATTGAATAAGAACTCACATAGATCATCCAGGCTGCATAACGCTCTTTGAGGTTGTACAGCACGGCAGGCTCATGCAGGTGAGTCATCATGGCCATGTCCTCGATCTTGTCATATTTGGGAGGGTTCATGGGGAAGACTTGGTCATCTTTCACAGTTACTGTCTGTCAGTCAAACAAGAGAGGCCAAGGTTGAAACATAAGTGCCAGCTAACTAACCCAAAATGTGGCCCAGTCTAATGAGCTCCCAGTGTTACACTCACAGCTCCACCTTCAGTCTTGGCTGTTACTTTCCCTCCTTCCCTGCTCTGCACTGTGGCTTTCACAAAGGACTCCTTAGCATCCACCACAAAGACTGATGTCTTGGCATCAAAAGGCTTATTCTGAGCTTCAATGCGCTCCTTTTCAGACTTTCGGAGGTAAGAAGCAGCCTCCCCAAAAACCGCCATCTCTGCATCAGAACTCATGGCTGCGGGTTATTGATGGCAGCCCAGTGAAGGACCTTGTCTGGCAGAAGGAGAAAAGAAATTATACAAATTCAGAAACTGGATTAGATTCTCATGAAATTCTTTTTTTTTTTTTTAATCCACTGACCAGTTGAGTGCTTAGCATTGTGCTGGGTGTGACCACCTCCCTGTCTTGGTTGAGGGTGAAGTATCAGTGTCCTTGTTCTGTGCCAGTGCTGACAGATACTTAAATCATGCATTTGGAAAGAGACTATTATTTCTGGCTCACCTATTGCAATCTCTTTGCTGCTTTCTGTGCTTCCTTTGTTATGTATGTTAATCCTATTTAGGCAAAGCTGCCTGTCATTGGCTTACACAGAGGATGTTCTCTGATTCTTTCGCTTCTAATTTCTATCTTCCCAACTGGATTATGAGCACCTTGCAGGCAGGGAGCACTGCTGTTTGATGGTATCCTTCACACCTCTTAGACTACATGCTGGACACAGAGCTCAAAGTTTGATGAATTAAACCAACAACAGGAATATGTTGCTACAGTTTTAGGAACTATTTTGAACATGGTGAAAATCTTTTAATTGTAAAGTAGGGCATTAAAAAGACTACCAAACTATAAAGAAAAGCAGAAATGTGCATTGCTTTGTTAAAAAATATTATGTATCAATTTCTCTTGTCCTTGTATCATAATTTGGATAAACTAACTTCTTCACCAATCTTTGGCATTATCAAAGATTTATTTTAAAATATTATGACCTATGTTGTCCTGCTTTATTAATATTCTCATAAAAATTTCACAAAACATTTTCTTTTCAAGATCCATCTCTTACCACTTTAACTAGCATTCTTTAATCCTGTCAATAATCATCATGTATAGTATATTTTATAATAATAAAGATACTGTTTCCAGGAAAACTCACTTGGGTAAACTTTTTCACATTTTTTCCATTCAAACTACAGTTACTCAGGTAACAATTAAAATTCTTTGTCTTGCTGGAAAGGCTCCCAAACATGTTTTGCATCACACGTTTTAAAATCTCCATGTTACAGATCGTGAAGCAACATGAAGACTTCAGCACCTTTTCCAAGATGAGAATTCAAACCATTGTATTTATCCATTTAGACATTATCTTAAAGGTTTTCATATTGTATAGTGCTGAGTATAAGCTGAAGTACAGAAAATGGACATTTTCTCTATAAATGAGGAACACTCTGAAATGTTGTATTGTAGGTTATAATACTATCATTTAAAAGGTAAACTATAATGCTAAAAATAGAAAAAATTATGCATGAAACTACTAAGGACTCTGAGAAAGCATTTTCATATATTGCAAAGGATATGAGTTAATGAGAACCAGTTTCTAAATTTGTCCACAGTTTTTTAAGAGAAACATGATTCATCATTAAATTGAACAGCTTTTATTTATTTACCACCTCCCCCAGCCCTGCCCACTTTCTGATTCACTGCAGAAAAATCCTTGCATTCTGTGAGGAATGAGGAAAAAAAAACTAGGATCTTACCTTAGAGATGCAAGCTTGAAGTAGGTCAGAACTATAAGAAATAGAGCAAATCTTCTGATTAAATTCTAGCACTGAACCAACTATAGCATAATTCTTAACTGAGAACCAGGAAATGAATGGGAAGACGACAGCATCTAATTAAAATTGCCGTGGAGTGAGTTGGTGCTTCACTGGCAAGGCTGCCAGAGGCAGTGGGAGCCAGGATGTGGGGCATGCACGCGGGCAGCCAAACATCCCTCAGCGTCCTCCTGACAGAGCCCTGTCCTCACACACACTTACCTTGACGCTTTATGAGGAGAGACAAGTCATGCTCATTCCAAGGGTACTTTTATAGGATCAGATATGGAAAACACGTAACCTCCTCCTCTTTCTTAAAACATTTTTGGCAAAACATGTTTTTGGCATTGAAGGTCTCTAAGCCTAATTCTCCTCATATTAAAGATGTTTGGATATAATTAGAAGTATTTCCTCTCACATTGGGTTAAGTATATGAATCAATCTCCTATAAATAATTTGAGTTGTTGGCAATCTGAAAGTGATCTGCCTGTGGAATAATGTAAGGTGTTGTTTCAAAGACAGCTAAGTTTTGGCATCCCTGGACTTTGTTGCCTGCTGCTCTTGTGTTTCACTGAATCGACTGAGTGAAGTCACTTTGATTCCTGCACAATTACAGACAGCGTGCTAGAGAGGAAAGTTTCTGCTTTGCAGCAGAGTGTTAGGAAAAGATTATTGGTTCCTCCCAAGAAGGCAGGATTTCTTTTTTTGAAGTTTATTGTGTTTTTTCAAGGATGCTGGGAAATTTATTTCAAAACTTGCCTCATAAAGATCAACTAAACACAGATAGCAGCTTCCTTTGTTTCCTTCAGTCAGTTGCTGCTGATTAATTGTCAAATCATTCCCCTTGCACTTCCAACTTGCTCCCAAACTATATTGGCTTGCCAAGCAGAGATGTCCTGCTTCTCTCATTTTTTTAAAATGCAGGTTGCTTGTGAAATCCTATTTTTTCTATGAAACTTAACATAAGAAAATATTAGAAATAGGGCATTACTCTGTCTCAACATGCAGCATCTGTGACTTCCCCTTTATCAGCTACCCATGGTACATATTTAACATTGTGCTTACAAACAATACCTGAAGATGATCTTCAGTTCTAATTTTTAAGTTTAAAAAGTGTTTGCTTTATTCTTCCTGTGGGCTTACATATCTGTCTGTCAGCATTATCTGACTGGGACTGGGACAAAATTTGTTTAATATACCCTGTTTTATACTTACCTCTTTATTACTATACATATAATTGGTTTCTTGGAAATAACTTGCCTTAGGAAAGCAGATCTGGAGAGACTTGTTGTAATGGTCACACAATTTTATTACCATTAGTGATCATCTAATTCATATCACTCATTTCACCAATAAAGCAATTGAGATAGATCCACAGAATAGAAAAGAATCTCCACAAATCACATAGCATGCTTGCTGGTGACACTCCTCTACTGGGGATAGATTAAAGCCATCAAGAAGGGCCTTACAAGGGGTGTGCATACCAAACAGGCTCCCCTAGTTGGCTGTCAGCTGCTATGTTACCACAGCTCCATCATTTCACTTTCTTACACATCTGCAGAATGTGAGCAAAGATTCTCAGAAAGAGAGAATGTCTTACTAACGCTCTCAGTAGGATTAGATGAGAATTTTAAGACATCCTTTTGACCTGCTGTGGATAAACTTTTTAAGAATACAATGTGAGATATTGTTTTTGGTCATTCCTGCCAGGTTGTGGGGCACTTATGAGAAGAGGGTGCCCACGTGTCTCCTCTAAGGCCAGTGCGGCAGTAGGAATCCCACGTACCCTTAAACTGCTTTCATACATCTAATTTAAATCATTCTCACACGGTGCCATTTAAACCTAGATATTCTTGCCTTCTGTTCAGATGGGAAGTTACCATTTATCTTTTCCTTTATGCTGCCCAGAATGGCTATATTTTTGGCTATAGGTCTTGGCTTCACTCGTTTTAGAAATCTTGACTTTCTAGGAAAACTTCTCTGAGTAATCCAGATTTCTATCACATCTGACTTTTCTGCCAAACTTATAACCAACATCATGTGTGTTGAGTACATATTTGAATTACTTTGAGGCATATATTTAGTCATTTATTTCAGTTCTTTATATGATTATACAGGAGGCCACAAAGCCTGGAAACAAAAGCTAATAGCTGGTTGATAAAATAATGTTCTCATAGGCTAATAGTTTAAGATGTTCTCTGGGTTTCCAGACTTGGTATCAACCCTGTAGGTTTTATAGGAGGAAGAATCAACACCTCACCCACATCAAACCTATTACCCAACGGACATACTGTGGGCATATGGTATATTGGTATTAATGATGAAAATATTCACAGGCTAATTAAGACTGCTTTGTATTTGTATTCTTGATAACAGTTATTACCAAGAATATTTAATGATATAGTTCAGTCTGAATCCTCTATGTGAAAATACAGTTAGTGCCATCCTTTACATAGACCTGGAATATTAGGTTCATGGTAGGGGAAAAGGATCTTTCTAAGATTTTGCAATACCCACATACCAGGAAAGATTAGAAAGAAATAAAAGTGACTTCAGATTTCTAGTCATCAGAACACGCTTTCCTGATATAGATCTAAAATAAAAAGTCAATACATAAATACTTTTTGGTGGCAGGTTGAAAGTAATTGACAGTAGAGAGAAAAGACAAGACCAGTCTAAGTACATTTGCAAAGTACCCTATGCTTTTTATTTCCTTTGCAGTAGGGTAGAATAGACAATAATCACAGAGGGAAGTGACCAAAGATGTCACATTTTGTGCCTCTCTTCTGTCACTCTGTAGCATCAAGACTTGATCACTCTTCACTTATGACTTTTGTGTGAACCTCCCGGCTCTTCACCCGCAGCTTGTTGACCTGGGACTCAGCAATGTCGGCCCGTTCCTCAGCCTCTTCCAGCTCGTGCTGGAGCTTGCGGAATTTAGATAGATTTGTGTTGGATTGTTCCTCCTGAGAATAAAAATGGAATTGTAAGGAACACATACTGTGCATCTTTCTAGACTCTTCAGACCGAAGGGAAGAAAGGACTTGGCATTTACAGATAAGCAAAATCCTAGATTTTGAAAATTGATATTAATTTTATGATTTTGGGGGGGGCCTTGAGGTTTCACTTTCCTATTTTTTCAACAAAACATATTAAAAGATATGTACCACATGTAGAGCAAGAAAAAAACACAAGAGAGAGAAGAAAGCAAGAATATGAAAGTCATAACTGTTAGTGCTCACTGTGAGATGATGAAAATTCACTTGAGTTAAATGAGTATTCTTTATCATATTAAGGATGAATTTATTAATAATTTTTAAAAATGAGATAAATCAGAAATCATTTTGGCATATTTCAAAATGATCACAATATTTTTCCTCCAACATTGGATGCAATGATTCTATTGACAGATTTGCTAATGTGAAATAATCCTTTCACTGTAAGAATGAAGCCTATTTAATCACTGGTAGACAATTCTTTTAATAAAATAAAAGATTTTACTACTTAGTAATTTATCTTTGCTATAACTATACTCATGAGTAAAACTGCCATTAGTTCCCCCCGCCCCTTCTTTCTTGGACAGGTTTTGGTATGAGGGTTACACGATATTCTTAAAATGAATTGGACAGCTTTCCATCTTTTCCCATGCTCTCAAGCAGCTTGCATAGCTGGGGGATTATCTGTTCCTTGAAATTTTGCAAGACCTATCTTGACCTGGGTCCATTTACAACTTATTCAGCCAACTTGGTAATTTATATTCTCCTAGAAAAACTCTCAGGTTCTTCAGAATTTCAACTTCTTTGACATATTTTATATTCTAAAAAATCATCTATTGTGCATGGCTTATCTCTTCTCGTCCCTCATGTTGTTTGTATTTTCTCTCTCTTTTTCCTTGATTAAACTAGTTATAAGTATATTTATTTTATTAATTCTTCAGAAGTTACCTAATATTACTGAAATTATCAAATTAGAAAAGAATATATGCTAATTCATCAATCTCTACCTTTGTTTTTAACAGTACTTCTTAGTTCCATTGTTTTAGTATTATTATTTATAATTTCTTTATTGGATCATCAGTTTGTCCATTTATTTTTATTTCTGATTCATATCATAAGTATTTAAAGCAATGAATTAGCCTTCAAGCACAGCTTTGACCACATGCTATATGTTTATAAGAGCAGCATCTTTTTTTATAATTTTATTTAGAATTAATACTTATTTAGTAATTATGATTTTTACTTCCAATTTAACACAAGAATTATTTAGGAAAGTTAGTCTTTTAATATGTAAGTCCTTGGGAATTTTTGTTTTTATTGTATCATCATTTTATAATTTTATCACACTTGTGGACAGAGAATAAGGCCTGTATTATTCCGCTTTTAACTTTTTTGAGCTTTCTTTGTGGATTGAAAGTTTAAGTTTAAAAATCAAATATTATAAATGATAAGCAATAAATATAAAAATGTACAAAACTTTTTAAGTACACAGTCTTCTATAAAGCAAACTGCTTGTGTACTATAAAGGATAGTAGATTTAATTATTTATTAGCTTTTCTTAATCTCAGGGCTTCCTCTTCCCTTCTATCTTAAGAATACTTACAGCCTCCTCTGCTTGTCTCTTGTAAGATTTGACTTTCGCCTGCAGTTTATCTACTAAATCCTGAAGCCTGAGAATATTTTTTCGATCTTCTTCCGTCTGAAAGATCATAAAAATTGCAGGGCCTTACTTACTAAAGCACAGGACTATTGCATAATTGCATATGAATACTTAATGTGTATTTGAAACATATTTCAGGTGCTAAAAACTACTGTACCTGGTAAGTGAGCTCCTTTACCCGTCTCTCATGTTTACGCAGACCTTTGACAGCCTCAGCACTACGCTTTTGCTCACTCTCAACCTCTCCTTCCAGTTCACGCACCTACAAAGAAATAGGCTGTTAAGAACTTTGATCCAATAAGGCATTGGAAGAAAATGGAAATAGGCAGATATTGGGAGACCCACCCTGGCCTCCAGTTTTTGGATTTGCTTCTTCCCACCCTTCAGCGCCAGCTGCTCAGCCTCATCCAGACGGTGCTGCAGGTCCTTCACTGTCTGTTCCATATTCTTCTTCATCCGCTCCAGGTGGGCGCTGGTGTCCTGTTCCTTCTTCAGCTCCTCAGCCATCATGGCAGCCTATATAGCAAGTAAATCAAGACAGTCAAGAAAGCTAGAGATGTCAGGAAATCTCACTGACAAATTAATAGAGAAATGTGCCTGTCACTCACATCAGTGATGGCCTTCTTGGCCTTCTCTTCTGCATTACGGGCTTCTTGGACAATGTCCTCCATCTCTCCCTGGATTTGGGAAATGTCTGTCTCCAGCTTCTTCTTGGTGTTGATCAGGCTGGTGTTCTGTTTAAAATTAGTTATCATTTTAAAAAATTATTTTACCAAAGTACTAAATGGTAGCCCTTTTTTGAAAAAAATTTCAGATAAAAATTTGCAGGTCAAAAAATATTCCCTTCAATATTAAACAGTTGTTATGTGATACAGTTAAATAAAATAGAAATGTTATAGAATGTCAGCATTCATAATTTTCAAGTGCATAGTTCATAAGTGGACAAAGTTGCTCTATAATTTCATAATTGCCATTTACCGATAAGACCATTCACAGGGATAAAAAATATGACTGTTCATAACATTCCATTTCTCCCCAATAAAAATGTCAGTATTGATGAGTTTCAATAAAGACATTGGCACAATAGAATATAGAGCAACCTTGGAATATTGTAGTAAGTGAATTAATAATAATTTTTCAAAATAAAAGAATGAAAGATTTTTTAATAATATAGTGAAAATTTAATAGAAGCATAAGACCTGGCTGTCATATAAAAAATTCAGGTTTATATTTTCTGAGATATGTAAACATTTACTACAGGGAAATTCCTTATGTTGAATCCTACCTGGGTGTGCAGGAGCTGGACACGTTCACTGGCATCCAGGAGCTCCTGCTCCGCAATCTTCCTGCTCCTCTCCGTCTGCTCCAGAGTGGCCCGCAGCTCCTCGATCTCAGCCTGCAGCAGGTTGGCTCTGCGCTCTACCATGGCCAGCTGCTCCTTTAGGTCCTCCTGGCCCCGGAGAGCATCATCCAGGTGGAGCTGGGTGTCCTGTGGAACAAACAATCTTTGAGACACTGTGTTCCCAGGGCTGAAGTCATCCCAGTCATTCTGGGACCATCTCTAAGACCCCTTTACCTTGAGGATGCCTTGGGTGTTCCTGTAGTTCCTCAGGGCCTCAGCAGCCATGCGTTTTGCTTGGTTCAGCTGGATTTCCATTTCATTGAGGTCTCCCTCCATCTTCTTCTTGAGCCTGATGGCATCGTTCCTGCTCCTGATCTCAGCATCCAGGGTGCTCTGCATTGACTCCACCACTCTGATGTGGTTTCTCTTCAGCTGGTCAATCTCCTCATCCTTTTCAGCAATTTTCCTGTCGATTTCTGACTTGACTTGGTTCAGCTCAAGCTGGATTCGCAGGATCTTTCCCTCCTCATGTTCAAGAGATGCCTTAATGACAGCAGGAGGTGACATTAGTAGGGAATGAAAACATTCTGAAGGTTTTATGCACACCAATAATTTCATGCTATGTAACTTTTTTTTTTTTTTGTAGTTTTTGGCTGGGGCTGGGTTTGAACCCACCACTTTCAGCAAATAGGGCTGACGCCCTACTCCTTTGAGCCATAGGCACCGCCCATGCTACGTAACTTTTTATTCAGTCTATACTGAAGATGGACTTAATTCTTTTCTGAAATTTTTTGTTTATACTGTACAATTTAACTGTACCTCTGCTTCTTCTAAAGCAGCCTGAAGTTCAGACTTCTCTTGTTCCACTTGTTTCTTTATTTTCTCCAGTTCATGGATACGTTTTCCTCCTTCCGCGATCTGCTCCGTAAGATCAGAAATCTCCTCTGTTGTTTGAGTAAAGGACATTTGTTTGGTCAAACAGCTGACAGAAGAGAAAGATTCCTGCAAGTCGTTAATATCATGGAACGTGAAAGGGACTTACGCTGTAAGTTTTTGTTCTCTCTCTTCAGGGTTTCTAGCTGATCCAAGGATTCCTCGTAGGCATTCTTCATCTTGAACAGCTCAGTGCCAAGGGAGCGAGACTCCTTCTGGGAGGCCTCAAGCTCAGCATGTGTTTCCTCATATTTCTGTTTCCATTCTGCCAGGATCTGAAAAACCAAGAGTGGTTACCTGCTGCAAAGACAAGAAAATGATGTAGAGCAGAGGATGCTGCAGGAATTACCTTATCAAAGTTCCTTTGCTTTTTGTCCAGGGCTGCACAGGCAGCGTTTGTTCTTTCCACATCGAGCATAAGGTCCTCCACCTCATTCTGCAGCCTCTGCTTCGTCTTCTCCAGGGAAGCACATTTGGCATTTACAGCTTCTACGTGTTCCTCAGCAGCCTGCAGACGCTGGGCCAGCTTCTTCCTGGAAGATTACATATGTTTTTAGAGAGAAATACACCATAATAAGAATTATGAACTATTACCACACTGAAGAGTATCAGAAACTTCATATTAATACTGTCTATTCATCCATCCATCCATCCATCCATCCATCCAACATATTATCATTGAGCTCCTTTTATGAACCAGACATTGGATACACAACAGTGAACAAGGCAAAAAAGATGCTTTCCTCATCAAGTTTACAAAAAAGTGACAGAGATAAACAATAAACAAGTCAGATAATGCATAATAACACTTTGCAGATGAAAGTTCAATGATGAAAAATAAAATAGGGTCAATGGTGAGCAACTACTCTAGGTATGTAGGGAAGACCTCCAGGAAGAGGTGACAATTGAGTCAAGATCTGTAAGAAGTTGGAGAGTGTGCCACAGGCCAAGCTCTGCAAGGAGGGTATTCCAGAAAGAGGGAACAGTAAGTTCAAACCCCTGAAGTGGTGATGAGTTTGGTATGCTGGACAAACATACAGCACTAAGGCCTCTGATTATCTGTGTATCTATTTGTTCTTTGTTTCCTTATAGGCAGGCCAGGGGACCGTGTTTTCTTTATTCATATCTTATTCTCAAGGCCTGATGGTGACTGGCAAATAGAAACCAATTAATGAATATTTGTGCACTAATTCACTGAATCTTTAAAGGCTGTATATTCAATCCAATTCAGTGTGCACAGTTTTCTGCACATGCTGTCATGTAAGGGCACATACTTGGCCTCCTCCAGCTCCTCTGTGCGCTGGATGGCGTCCGTCTCATATTTGGTCCTCCACTGGGCAACCTCACTGTTGGCCTTGGACAGCGCCCTCTGCAGCTCAGCCTTGGATTCCTGTTCCTCCTCATACTGTTCCCGCAGCAGGTCACAGTCGTGGCGGGAGGACTGCAGGGCGTGCGCCAGGGCATTCTTGGCCTTTGAAGATAGTTACACCTTCATTTTACTAGATACTTAAATATTTAATTCTTAACTTTCAAAACTCTATAAAAGTTGGTATAACAAGTTCTATTCAGGATCAGCTCATGGAAAAAGAAATCAGTCCTGGGATAATAGTTACCTTTATCTCCTCTTCAAGTTGCCTCTTTAATTCCTCAATTTGTTGAGTAAATGCTAGTTTGCCCCTGGATAACTGAGACACCAGAGCTTCTTTTTCATCAAGTTGGCGTGAAAATTCACCTGACAGACAAAAGAAATGGCACTTTTCTCTTTAAAATGAAGAAAAAATTCTGCAAAGCTCTGTTAAAAATAAACTTGAGCTCTTATCCTTCTAAATTGAGTGCTCACATGAATGAATCCTCTATTGACATCTTCATGTTCAAGGCCAAATTTCTGTTCTTTATGATGAAACTTACATATCAATTTGAATGAATGAAATCAGCTTAAATTCTTTTTGTCCTTTCCATAATGAATTCTTTCAAGGTTATATGATATTATGCAAAACCTGGTGACAACTGTCCAAGAACAGAGTTAAAATTTCCAAGTCTACATAGTCCCAGTTCCGTAGGACTTTTGAGAGACTGGGCTGTCTATTTCCTCACTCAGTAATTTACTTTTTGCTGATATACATAAAAAGAAACTTGGCGTTGGGCGGCGCCTGTGGCTCAAAGGAATAGGGCATCGGCCTCATACGCCGGAGGTGGAGGGTTCAAACCCAGCCCTGGCCAAAAACTGCAAAAAAAAAAAAAAAAGAAACCTGGCCTGAAACAGAAGCCCTAAACTCATGCTGGAATGACCCCTGATCCCATCATCTCCTCTGTCAACAAATACTCTAGGCCTTTCTGGAATAGAGCTTGATCCAGTCCTACTGAAATCTTCTATCTCCAGTATTGTCCCAAAATGACCTTGCATGTGAATCACACATGTTCTCAGTTGCTGTTGCTTTTATTAGGATCCCACATCACCAAATCATTTGTTCTTAACCACATCATCTCCACTTGTGGCGTGTAGAAGAGGGGAGAATTACCAGATTCAGTCTGCAGGCGTCCTCTCTGGGCTGTGAGGTCATTGATCAGCCGCTGCTGCTCTTCTTCCTTTGATTTAAGTTCACTCAATTGGTCCTCCAGGGTCCGACACATTTTCTCTAGGTTTCCCTACACAAGAAAAAGGAAACAAAGATCTAAGTAAATAATAATAATCTTTGCAGTTACTATAATTTCTCCCCAGAAGAAAAAATACAATATTTATTTTGATATATAAAATAAGTCAAATTCTCTCATATGTAGTGTAATGTATAAGAATTTTTTTTCTTTATATTTTATGAAAGCTAATCAAGAAGCTCTGTTCAATCTTAATATAAAAATTTAAAAATTATGTCCTAATTTTAAGATTTTGTAAGAATTTAATATTGTATATTTTCCAAAAGCATGTTCAAAAATACTTTATTGCCATTATGTGTAATGAAACATTCTTTGTTGCATAATTGAAAATATTAGGGACCCATGTTCTAATCAGAGACCTGGAGGACACAGAGGACCTATGTTCAAAAGCTGGTGCTATCCGCCATTTATTAGTGGTCTGACAGAGCTGATGTGCTTAACCTCTTTGAATTTTTCTTTCTTCATATGTTATATGGACATAATACAAGTGCTAATACTTTTCCTACTTGCCTCCCTGGATTACTGCAAATAACAAATGACTTAACATATGTAAAGTGCCCTGTGTAAACTATGATGTGTCTGTCACAGATTATTATAATAAATAGCGATTTCCCGGAATCTGTAGTACCTTGGCTTTGGAGACCGTTTCTACATTACTAGCAAGGTCATCGATCTCCATCTTCATCTCGCTCTTCTCCTTCTCCAGCTTCTGTTTGACCCGCTGCAGGTTGTCAATCTGCTCCCCGAG